TGACGGTAGCAATATGCATGTCTCTCGCCACCAAAAATAGCTTGCACAGACCCAACAATAGCATTATGCCTATCAGAAACTAATGTTATCTCAACTGATCTTGTGATATCTTTGACATTTCTGAGAAATCAAGTCCAATCTTCAAATGTTTCCCCACTCACAATAGCATATGCTAGCGAAAATAGGTCATTGTCCGCATCATAAGCAGAAGATGCCAACAATGTTCCCTTGTATGGACCACTTAGAAAGCATCCATCTATATAAAATATGTGTCGACAACCTTCTAGAAAACCCAAAATACAACATCCATATGTAATGAATAACCTCTCAAATTTGTTGCTATCAGAGGCTTCCTATTTCGTAATTGTCGTTGCATCAGTTTCCCTTAATTTATCACAAATCTAAGGGATTATCATATAAGAATCTTGTGGAAGACCATGTATATCTCACAACACTTTTTCTCTTCCCCTATATGCTTGACTGTATGTCAATCGGACACCATACTCTCTATACAAGTCTCTTCTAATTTCATTCGTACTCTTGTCTATAGTAGACCTCAAAGCATTAGCAATGATCAGTGAAGTTAAATCTGCTCTTTCCTGGTGTGAAACAATAAGCTTCTCTTATGCATTGTGGATGTGCTCGCTATTGAATCTTGTTACCCTCAAAAAGTCACTATGCTTTCCTATTGAATATGCTGTAATATTCCATGGACAACCCTCAACCTTGTACTTAGCAATGACCTTTTTTGTATTGTTTTTCTTAAACTTATATGAAACCTTGTGCCCAATACTATACTTGTACAAAGTTTGTTTAAAGGCCACTGCATTAGTAAACATTTGGCCCTTACCTACAAATAAGTCCTTCCATTTCATTGAATTCATTTCAGGTATTAGTGTAGGCATTATTTGTGCAGCACATTCTAATGGCAAGTCTTCAATCTCAGGACACAAACTATGTAGAGATAAAGACCCTCCCTTTAAACCTCCCAATAAATTATCAATCCTGTAAAAAATTACAATCAGAGCGCATTAGTAATACTACATTTTAATATTATATATGTTAACAAAAATAATTAACACAACTTACACATGTTGGCACTCAATTGGGTTATCCATTGAAGCTTTTGTAGTGTCATTTTCATTTCTAACTACATATACATGTCCACTTTCTTCATTGTACTTAATTAAATATTCTACTCTATCATCATCAACAAGATCTACAAGTGTGCTTCTGTCAATGCTGAGTGTGAACTTCATCTTACTTCAAATGCTTTTGCATCCTATAATTGCTGATAACATTCTTCTCAACTCTTCATAACTTGTCCCTTCCTTTATACTTTTTGTTCTTACACTCTCACCTACATATTGCATACTACCTTGGCCATCATATACAATTTTTCCTCCAATATGAAAAAAACATAATAGATGTTTCCCAGAAGCACTAGCCATCTTTCATGTCAACTTGCACCATACACAACATATTGACAACTACCCACAGCATTTTGATTTCAATAATTAACAACACACACAAGATATTGTCAATCGATGCTGCACACAATATATTGACAACTGCCCATGCCATATTAACAACTAAAGCTTCATATATTAATAGCACATTCAAGGTATTCTCAAACAACATATTGACAACTACCCATAGCATATTGACAATAGATGCTTCAGCTATTAATGACATATCTTACTATCTCATAATAGACTCATCAGCTCAACCAGGTAGTACTAGATTCTGGAATAAATTATTATTAATGCAACCTCAATGACCACCCATGATAGATATATCGACCAAGAGAGAGAAAGAGAGAAAGAGACCACTCCTGACTTATATACCCATAAGGAGAGAAAGAGAAAACCCTATTCTACCAACAAACCATAAAATACTAGATTAAATGATTAACAGGGAGTATATGCAAACTAATCTCATCATTTACTTGCTTCCGTGAGGTCACAATATCAGATTCTTTGAAGCTCCAACCTGGGTACAAGAATGTTTGAACGTAGGCCCTCTTCCTTCACAAACTCCTACACACCTCAAACTAAAGATCATTGCAAGAATGGGTTCATCTCCTAGCTACAAGTTGATCCTTACGTATGCCATTCCGAGGACACTTGCGAGATGCATCTCAGTTACTGTTGCCTTTATCACGCGTGAAAACCAGACTTCTTTCCTCTTTCCTTCTTTTCTTCCCTTTTAAATTAGCCAAGGGCAAATGGGTCTTTTTAGTTGTAATATTATTTACCCCTAAGGACCATGGGACTTCATACTAATTTGGCTTATTCATGGGACCTAGTAATATTTAAGTTTGATGTGTGGGACCTCATTGTAATTCTCCCTAAAAACTATCTACACACATTATATATATATATATATATATATAATCTATACAAGTAGTTTTAAAAAGAAAATAAAAGAAGAGAAACAATGAAGACTAGGATCTCCTGTTGCCAAAACCATCTCTTCATTTCAATTAGCCATCAGATCACATGGATTTGGCCAAACAATACCATAACATTTTTTTTATGTTAGCAATAATTTCTTTACAACAATCTTAAAATGTCACTTAATGCAGGTATTTGATTCTTATTTTAAGTAATAAATATTTAACAACATTTGAAAATTGTCTTTTAAAATACAATAGTAACAATTTTCAAGTGTTAACATCAAATTTTTAAACAGGCAACATTACAATACTCAACAAAGTTAAGAAAAGGGAGAATCACATAAAGCTCCTATATATTAATTTAAATTTCTAAATAATCTTATAAAATGCACAAATAACTCTAAAATCTTGTGGATTTAATTATAATCAATTTTTGGTGTACACTTATTAAATTGCCCTATTTAAAAATTAAAAATTATCTCCCTATGGCTACTAGCATAGGAGTTCTATCAAAACCTTTAGACCCTATTTGGTACGCAGCATTGGAAAGGTAGAATTGGAATTGAGATTAATTAGTATCAAATTTTTATGTTTGGTATGAAATAGTGGGAAATTTTAATTATGGCAGAGAACACCAGTGTCTTGCTTCTCTTTTTGGAATGCTTTTTGAAGCTTATTCTTTCTTTGTCAGGTGGTGGCTATGTCTGCAACTTCACTTAGTGATGTAAGGATGGTGGCTATGTCTACAACTTTGCTCGAGACTGATTTGTGCCTCTTATCATCATCCCTTTCCCAAGGCGATAGCACTTATCTAGAGATCATGTTGGATGCTTCAATCTTCGAGTTGCCAAGCTTGTCTTCCCCATTACAGATTACTGTTGGTGCCGGATCTGAATCAAGAAGAGGAGGATGAGCTAGATATGATTTTTTTTGTTTTTGTGAACATTGGGGAATACCACCAGGGAGAAGAGGATGATTTTTTGTGTCTTTTATCCTATTTTTTGGATCATGTGGCTGTTACTTGTTTTTTAATCCCATCCCATATCAAACATGATTTTAAAAGTTATTCCTACTCTTAATCTCATGTTCAATATCATTTTCAATCCCAATTCCTTAAAATTCAATGACACATACCAAACAAGACTTTGGTAGAGTCAGTAATTCGGGCCGAACCTGACGGGCTAGCTCGAACTCGCCTAAAAAAAGTCAAGACTGGGTTTAGAAAAAAATATAATATTTTTATATTCGGGTCTATTCGGGCTAGCTTGAGAAAATATCGATCAGGCTTGGCCCGAATACCCAAAATAAAAATTTTTTATTTTTATAAAATATATAAAATATGATAAATATTAATTAATTCTTTAAGTTTTAGATCATTTTATACTAAAATATCATATATTTGAATCCTATACATCATTTAAGTATCAAAAAATTAATTAAAATAATTTTAAAAATAAAATTCGGGTATTTGGGCTGCCCAAAGCCTAAAGGAATTCAAGCCGAACATAACTATTCGGGCCTATTCAGATTGGGCATATTCGGGCAAAACCTGAATAAGTCTGGCTTGCCCAAATTCTCAACTCTAAAATTTGGTGACTAGTAGAGGAACTCCAGTTTTTAGCATCTAGTGTCGATGATCAAAAGAAGATAAATTTTTAAACTTTTGAAAGGAAGATGTTTTGGTAAATGTACACCAAAAATTAATTTACAATTAAAATTCGTAAAACTTTAAGATTATTTATGCATTCCATGGTATTGTTTAGAATTAAACTCCATATATAAGACCTCTGTGTGATTTTCCGCTAACAAAATTGTTGCATAAAAGCATAACCACAGAGGGAATATCTTCCAATATGGGCGTGATGTTGCAAAGGCAAACGTGCAGGCATTCGTCACCACGGAGGCAATATCTTAAATTATTGCTCTCTCATGGTGTCAGTGTCACCGGGATCGATTTTCATGCCTTTCAGATGATGGACACATGATGAGCAATCTGAACAGCCTAAATTAAAGGTGATTATTTTATTTTATTTTTTATGTTATATTTATTAAAATAAAAATTATAAATTTTAATAAATTTATTTTATTATCAATTTGATATAAATTTAATTTAAATGATCCAATTTAATATTAAATATTTTTATAATTTTTATAAATTAACTATCTATATGTACTATATGTAGTTCACAATTAAAATTTTCAAATTACAACTTTTCTTAATTTTTCAAAGAGAAATTTTGAAAATTATCTTTATTTTTAATTTTAATATTATATTTACTAAAATAAAATTTATAAAAATTATCAAAAAAATTAATATTAAGTTTAGACTTAACAAAATATATCTGGATGATCAATTTATAAAAGCTCTAAAAATTTAATACTAAATTAGATCATTTAAATTAAATTTATATGTCCAAATTGATGATAAAATAAATTTATTAAAATTTTATAATTTTCTATCATAAATATAAAAAAATCTGAAAATAAAAAAATTTGTATGGTTTAGATGCTTATCAAGTAATGAGCACCCAATCCAAACGCCGTCATCATTCCTCATGTCTTCTTCCTCCAACTTTATATCATCATTTGGTGTCTCTCAAGCCCTATCTATATATGGACACACACACACAGTCACACACCATCACACTGAAGCAGATAAAGTAGTCTCACACAGCTGAAGTAAGATAGAGAGAGAGAGAGAGAGAGCCAAGATGGAATCAAGAGTTGAAGATATTGTGATTGTGGGAGCTGGGATTGCTGGCCTTGCTGCCTCCTTGGGACTTCACAGGTACCTTCTCTAATTTATTTTCTGTGTTTTCATGCCTGTGAATAGCTTTCAGTAAGTTTTTTTCATGCAAAAATATTTAGAAAGTTTTTACCGAGTTTTTAATATCCTTGAGTCAAACCATTAACTTTATAAAAAGAGTTAATTTTTTTCAATATGTTAAGTTTTACTTTTAGAACGGCTAATATCAAACTATTCTAAAAGAGAAAAAAAAAAAAAGAATTACTTCTCTCATGAAATTAATGAATACCATGTGACTTAGTGCGTGTGCAATAAATTTTTTATATTTGCAAGGTGTTTTTGAAGATTTTTAAATGTCAAAATTCTTTGGTTTTGTTTAAAAAATTCAAAGTCAAATGAAAAAGATACAGAATGTACTTTTGAAGAAGTTAACTTCAAATTGCTTTCCCATTTACGTTTTCCAATTTGAAAGTGAAGTAAAACTACTATGACCATAATACCCTTGTAGCTTATTTTCTTACCACACTTATATATATTTTAACAGAATTATTCAATTATATTTATGTAATCTTTATAAAATCATTTTTGCTTTTATTTGATATTTTCTATATTATTTTTCATATATTTTTAGTAAAAAATTTTAATTTTAATTTTTTTTATTAGAATTTGTAATTTGGGCTAGGCCCGATAGGCAAGCCTAAATTTGTTTGAAAAATTTAGAGCTGAGCTTTTAAAAAATATTAATTTTTTAATATTCAAGTTTATTTAGGCTGGGCTAAATAAATTCAAGAAAATTTAGGCCAAGCCCAATTGGGTTCGAGCTTGGCCTAAATAACAAATAATTTTCAAAAAATATATAAAATATAATACATATTAATTAATTCTTTAAGTTTTATGTCCTTTTATACTAAAATATTATATATTTGAGTGTTTTACTATAGTTATTTTTAAAAAAATTAAAAATATTTATATTTTTATATTTTTATTATTTTTAATCAATAAAATATATCAAAATAATATTTACGATATATTTTTATATTTATTTTTACATTTCCAATTTTTTTTAAAAAAGTTTTGAATCCTATACATCATTTGTATATTCAAAAAAATATATATTTTATATTTTTTATCAAAATAAGATAATTAATTTTAAAGTAAAAATAATTTTAAAAATAAAAATCAGGCATGTACTAATTCTTGACTATACTATTAGATAAACATAATAAATATAAAAATGTTCTTGAATAATTATTTAATTATCATCCATATTAGACTTAGTTAAAAATGAAGAATAAATTAGAGTAAAAATCCCTTGTATGTAAGGATTAAACAATATAAAATGTTAAAAAAATATTTTCAAAAATTTTTTTACTCATAATTAAATAATTTTATTTTATATAATATTTAATGGCTATTTTTCTCATATTCTTAAGAAAAAAAAAGAAAAGTATAGTTTATCCAAAATTTATTAAAAACTTTAAATGAATTGAGATAATAATTTTAAGTTAGTAGTCTAACCGTGAATTAATTAAAATCAACTTGATCATAATTAAAATAATATAATTTAATTAAAATATATAAAATATTTATATATGACCATGATGAGAGTAATATTTAAAAAACTAAAATATTAATTTACAAGTAAAAGAAACATTCATGACTAAATTACATATGATATAATAAACCAGTAACAGAGCTACTTAAGTACAAAGTTGACAAGTTATTATTTTTTATTTTATTCTTTTCAAGTTAAAATAATATTTTATTCTTAACAGAATTATTTAAAAATTGAAATTGGTTTAAAAATAAAAAATATTTTTAAAAAGTTTTGAGTATTCGGGTAGACCGGAATAAGCTCGAAGTCCAAAAATGTTAGGATCAAGCTTTGGCTATATCAACTTTTTAGAAGGGGTAAGATACTTTAAGTTAGATCCAAATAAGCTCGATCCAAATTAAACCCTACCCAAATAAACCTAACTCGACCAAATCACTGGCTCTACTTTTTATACTTTTTTTTGAGTGAAATCATTTATTTTTAAAATGCAGTCGTTTATAAATTATTTAAATTTATATAAATCAATATATTTATAAAAATTTTGGAAAACCGTGTTATTTGTAAATTATTTGTAAATTAATTTTTTTCAATATATCAAGATTTGCATAACAAAAATTATTTATAATAAGACTCATATCTTTTTTGGTAATTACACATCTAAAAAGTATTTTTGCTATATATTATTCAAACAACTTTCAGTTTATCAAATTGACTTTTAAAAAAAATATATATAAATATAAATTTTATTATAATAACTGACTTTTATCAAACTGACTTATATCAAATGAATTTTTGATAAATAAAGTTTTGGTAAACAAAAAATCAAGCAAGCCCTTAAAGATATCAGGTTCTCGAAGAAAAAGTTCTAAAATATTTTTGTAACATCATTTTTGCTTTTTACTATTTTTTAAAAAAATATATTGCAGAGATAACCAAGGTTCAGGGAGGGAGTTTAGTGAATAAGGAAAATTTTTGTTTTTACTAATCTCTCTTTTAAAAATGAAAAATAACTAAATTACAAAAAAATTTCTTGAATTTTGTCAAAATATTTTATCTACTTTTAGAATTAATGTAATTTCTTAAAAAGATAATGAATAAAATAAATAATTTATTTTATTTTTAAAAAAAATTTCACACATACCTACCTTCAATCTTAAGGAGTTTGGGTAGATTTTTTAAATAAAAAATTATAATTTTTAAAAAAGTAAAAAATGAGTAATTTCTCAAATTCATTATAAATGAGATGAGATTTGTGTATGTTTTAATATTTTTTAAAAAAAATTGGGTAGGTTTTACAAAATTTGGAAGTTTATATTAATTCCAAAAATATCAGTGTAAATTTTAGAGAAATTTCATGAAATGTCTCTACAATTCAATTTTTTTAAAAAGAATATTTTGAAGACATGAGCTATTTTTTACATTCACATATAAACTTGCAGGTTAGGCGTCCGAAGTTTGGTTTTAGAATCTTCAGATACTTTGAGGACCTCAGGATTTTCTCTCACACTATGGACAAATGCTTGGAAAGCCTTGGATGTTCTCGGCGTTGGTCACATACTTCGCCAACAACACCTCCAGCTTGTCGAGTAATACTTGTCTCTCAAGCCTAAGAATGGTTTTAATTATGTATGTTATAATAATTTTAAGAAGACACATAAATGAGTTCCATATATTGAGTTTATATGTTTGCTTAACATTTTCAAGGGGAAATATAAATATAAATATAAATGATTATAATACCACACTCTAAATCAAAACCTTAACACATTAAGTTTATTAGTATTTTTCACTTATATACTTCTTCTCTTACAATCGATGTGGGACATTTTCCCCGAGTCATGCTAACTCATATCTTACATCCCAGTGATAACAACATGCCTTTCATAGTTTTATAAACCAGACATTCTTTTAACTGGGTGAGACATTCGTTCAAAAGTAAACACAACTGTTCTTAAATCCATTGGATTGGTCAAGATTAATGAATGAAGAAACATAGTATCCCCTTATGATTAATGTAAACTCATGATGTCTTCTAGAATCTTTGTTTTTTCAACAATACATGTGTCTTTTCTTTAGTAAAACTTTTTTGCATTGTTAATTCCACTCAGACAAAGAAATTAAAGAAGTCAGCTGGTGAATTATTATTAAGAAATGAAATTTTTTGACGCTGATGATTAAGAGCATATGAAACTAAACATTTTGGGATTGGAGTGCAGAAATGTCACTACTTCCTTGATTACGGGACAACAAACATCAACAACAGCTTTTACCAACGCCATGGGAAAGCAGTAAGTTGATCAGTTTGTAAATAAAGACTTTCTTCACTTTATAATCATCATTATCATTATATATATAAACAAAGTCAGTGTAAATGTAAATATACTGCATTTCTCTAGAATTTCATGCATTTGAAGTTTTTAGTGTAATGATATATGAATCTGTCAGTAACAAGTTTGACCACTTGCACATTTTCACAGTCATATACAATATAACATATTTTTACAATATTATCACATGAAATTTATCTCAATATTAATTAAAGACTATGCTTGATCATTGGCATGACCTGCACATAAGAAGGATGGTTGGGGTTAATTGATCAGCCAAGACTTATTAATTAGTTTTTGTACAAAGAAAATTTCAATACAAGTAATAAAACGTTCATATGTTTGAATTGAGGTTTAAACTAACTTAGCCATTTCATATTTACTCTTATTCCATTTTTGGCTTGGAATGTTTGATCTTGCTACAATGATTAAGGGTTCTAGATCCTCTGCATTTAACAAACAAATTCACCACTTGAATATAGAAAAAAAAATCTAGAATGAATGACAAGTGGATAAAGAGAGAGTATACCTAAAATATACATCTACAAATTTGTTCCACTATATATTAGGTACCTCTGTAAGATGGAAAATTCTACCCCATAAGCTAATTGTTGTGATAAGAGAACCAATCCACTTAAATATTCTATTGAGCATTTGATACTATTTAATGAGGGACTTGGTATCATATACTACCAAGTCTCCTTTAGCCACATTCTTTCTTAAATGCATGATGGATTGCTACTTAGGATCCAAGTTAGAGTGCTGATAGAATTTTTACATGGTGCAGTGGGGTCCACGAAGTTCGTCGTGTTAGAAGGCAATTACTGTTGGAAGCACTCGCCAACGAACTTCCAAGTGGCACCATCAAGTACTCTTCAAAGGTGGTAGCTGTTGAAGAATCTAGCTTCACTAAATTAATTCATCTTGTTGATGGAACTATCATTAGAACCAAGGTAATAATAACAATATCTAAGATCAATAACCTCACTGCCTCACCCAAACATGGACTTAAACCTTAACAATAATATCATTGTTTATGACTTTGAGAACAGGTACTCATTGGGTGTGATGGAGTGAACTCAATAGTAGCAAAGTGGCTTGGGTTGAACAAGGCTGCTTTCTCTGGCAGATTTGGAATTAGAGGGTGTATTACATTAAAGAATAGTCATAAGCTTGAACCTAAGTTTATGCAGTTTTTTGGAAAGGGTTACAGAAATGGTGTTTTGCCTTGTGATGACAAGACAGTTCATTGGTTCTTTACTTGGAATCCCACTGACCAAGGTGAATCCTCCATGACTAACAGAATATAAGTCATTATTATTCCTTTAAACTTTTGATAATAAGTATAAGGTGGAGAGAGAAAAAATTTTCTCTTATTTATAAGTCATGTCATTAATTTTTTTATCATAATTTTTTCTTTTTTGTCCCTACATTTAATAAGGGTAAAATTGGAAACTTATTAGATGTTTAGACTGAGTTAAGAAGTTTTAATGTTTTCTTTGATTCTGATAAAACATGTTAAAAATAACTTATCCACAAGTTTTAATTTTTTCTTTCTTTTTAATAAATGCAAGTGTAATACATACTCATCCACTTGGTTGCCTTGCAGAAAAGAAGCTAGAAGAGAACCCAGGTCAAATGAAGCAATTTGTGTTAGAGAAGCTAGAGAATATGCCGAGTGATATTAGAGCCTTCATAGAAAATACTGATTTGGATCATTTCTTATCATCTCCATTGAGATACAGACATCCTTGGGAGCTAGTGTTTGGTAATATCAATAAAAGCAATGTATGTGTTGCTGGAGATGCATTCCACCCTATGACCCCTGATCTTGGCCAAGGTGGTTGCTGTGCTTTAGAAGATGGGGTAGTTTTAGCCCGGTGTCTCGGCGAGGTCTTCTCCATAAAATCTAGTGGATATATCAGAGAGAAGAATAATGAAGAAGAAGAAGAAGAGGAACAGTATAAGAAAATTGAGATGAGCTTGAAGAAATATGCTAGTGAGAGAAGATGGAGATGCATTATTATCATCTTTGCAGCTTATATGACCGGTGTTATTCAGCAGGGTCATTCTAAATTGGTCTCCTTTTTTAGGGACAAATTTTTTACTCCAATTTTAGCTGGTTTTCTATTAAAGGCATCTGATTTTGATTGTGGAAAGTTGAGAAACTCTTAAATTGAGCAATCGAGATCCTATTAAGTTGATCATATGTGAAGTTTGTTGAAGTTGAACGCAAGGTACAAGTACACTATGTTCACCTTCTCTAAGTATGCAAGACAAAATATATATTGAATTTAGGATTAAGGTGCAAACATGCCCAAGGCCAACAATTTTTTCTCTAAGAGCTTTTAGCATCTTTAAATCAACAATAATGCATCATTACTCATTAACTTCATAGAAGACTCCAACTTTCCATAATCTATTGAGTTCTATCCTTAGAACTTAACAATTAACGTTAAACTATTTTAACATATTAAGGAAGGTTGGCCTTTTTAATAAAGTTAATGGATACTCATATACCATTATTAACTTAAAGATATTAGAAGCTCTTAGTGAAAAAGTTTCTAGATATTTTTGCACCTTAATTCTTGAATTTATAGTATTGGTACTTTGCATTCATCTTCACCACCTTGACATATCTTCAATTTTTTAGAGTCTGAGTGGCCAAAAAGAACCTTCTTTCAGAGGATCTAAATTATTGAAGGAGCCAACAATAATGGAATAATAGTCATCCATGTCCTTGCTTATGGAGTAGTTTGTTATGTTTACTAATGCATGCTTCTTCTTGAGAAAATCTTACAATTATAATAATAGATGTAATGTCATTTTTCTCTTTGTTCAGGCCCTAATAAAGCATTTTTCACTATCCTTGGTCTTAAATGTTGCATTTAAAGATTTTGTTTTGGATACTGGCCTAGACTACTATTATTAAAACTTGTAGAGAATCGAAGTCTTTATTATCAAAGAAAGCATTCAATTCTAACCACCACTAAGCATCTGGATTAACTGATTAGGGGGTTAATCTAGTTTAAACAAAGGTCTTAAGTTTGAACTCTGCATATGCAGCAAGTTGCTAATCAAATTAGTTTGGGTCAAAGGCCTATAATATTGGAGTGAAAGCAAAAGCATTCAAGTCTGACCATAGAACAATTGCTTATAGCCTTATATAGAGCCTAAAAGATGAACATCAAATCCTAATAATTAAAAAAAAAAGATAATATTAAAGCCTAACAGAAGGATGATTAGTAGAGCCCAACAAAAATTTAACCAAGCCAATAAAAGCTATTTAAAATCAAACAAAAATTATTAAAATGTTGGCTCATAATCAAGACATTATTTCCTCTATTTTTTTCACGTGTCTGTCTTGGGTCTTTTCAAGCTTAAATTTCCAAAATGACCCTTTGCAAATACTAAGTACAAGTACAGTCCCATGTAAAGCTGCTTAATCACATGGAACAACAAATGCTGAATTTAAATTGAAAAGAAATTTTCATGTGTATATCATGAGAAAATTTATGATACAACTAAAGGGGAGTAATAAAGGAACAAGTACCATCCAGGTGTCAAAATAGTTCTCGGCAAATCCCTGATACAAATTACAATTAGCAGGTCATTAAATCACATAGAACAACTACTAAGACTCAAGCTTCAATTAGTGAGTTCATTATTTTTAGGGCAGAAAAATTAAATCTCAACTCCTATCCAAGATAAAATATGGCAAGATTTGAAATATTTCTTTACTTCAAATATCAATCCTAAAGCTTTGGAACAACATGAACACAAAGGCTCCTAATATTACTATATATTGTCAGGGTAAAAAATATGGGTCAACCTGGATCATATGAGTTGAAAAAAATATGAGTTGAGTTGAGTTTAGTTTAATCTAATTTTACATCAGTTAAAAAAATCTCAATCCAATACTACCAATCTATTTATTTATTTTTTTTCATGGTTTTTTTAAATTACACTTAAATAAGAAGTTATAATATGATATTTACACAATTAAAAAAATTCCACATCATAAATGTATGAAATTAATCAATTTAAACATGATTCATTTCAAATATGCTTGAACCCTCTCCATTTTTATTTGTCAATTTTATTTTATTTTTTTGTAAATAATATGAGTTAAACAAGTCAATCCTTATGCATCAAGGTTAACTCATTTTCTTCACAATTTACTTGATCCCAGCTATAAAAGATCTATTTTTATATAGGTCAATTTTTTTTCCAGCCTGCCCCTTATAACAAGTTATTCAAGCCAACCAATATAATCCAATCTATATTTTCAGCTCTATTATTGTATCACATTGATCAAATATATTCTGTGCAATTCATAATGAAAATTTACATGAAATACTAATAAATATAAAGAAATAAGATCACATTTACCACATAACTTGGATGACCATGGTAAGTATAACAATCATGAAACCCATTCATTACTCTCTTGTGCAGATCATGTTTAGAATATGTTAAATTGTAGTTGCTAACTTACTCTTGATATAGTAACATTGTACCATGTTATATTACCTGATGTCTATAAACCATAACTTCCCACTTCATACCTCACCATGCTATTGTTTTCTTCCTTCTAATTGCCATAAAGATCTAGTAAACATATTTCTTTTACAAATCTGCACAACATTTTCCCTATATTTCTAAATAGGTTTATTTTGTCAACATATATAAGTTTATTAAATGGAGAGAATTACATACAACTCTCACACAATACATTTAAATACTACAAGGTTTATTGACAATTTAGTAAAGGATAATGATAACTAAAATAGTTGACATTTTTCTTTGTTAAATTGGCAATGAATCTTGAGATGTTTAAATGTTCTGTGAGTCTTTAAAATAATTTTCCCTATTAAATTATCACAAAGAAAAGTAGATCTCTTAAAGCTGATAGTGAGGTGGTCTGAACATTTATTTAACTTGATTACAAACAAAACTTACTCTACTAAATAAAAAAATAGAGATGTACAAATATGACCCTAAATTTTGAAGCTTTCAAAGGAATTGGCAGAGTCAAATGGAAATCATGACTAAATAGGTGTTTGGATTAAAAGGATCTGGACCTGAAACATACTATGGGACCCACCATTTAGCAGATGAGCCAATATCTTAACATCCCAAGTTTATCTGTTTGATTGACTTATAATTTATTTGATTGGGGAAAAAATCACTATGATTACTTGAATGACCTTAGTCTTGTGTGAGTCTTTCCCTCTCATTGGCTAAAAGATCTTAGTCTTATATGTTTTACCTACTAATATACATAAAGAATTTCTTAGCAAAAGAATTTTACCACAGGGATAATTCATGTTTGGAAAAAGGGCAAAAATACTTATAAAATTGTCGGCAAGGAGCATCTAGTACCTTAGAATGAAAAAAGGTACATGAGCACCGATAATGTGATTTAAGTTGGTGCAAAATTGACCAATTCATGAAATTTCAGTGATATCCATTAATTTGCCTCATAATTCATGACAGGTGGCTTTGATCCATCTGCCATGTTGCCACCTATTTGCACCTCATTCAATGCTCTTTCAAGTTCATGGTTTCAATCTTGGCCTCATCATTTTCGAATGATGCTAGCACATGGACAACGCCGGCAAAGAAAGGAAAGGAAGATCTTTGGTGGTGGTGCTACAGTTGGAGAAGGAAGGAACATAAAGGGTGATGGCATGCATAGGGAAGAGATCTAGGCAATATTGTTACTTGAAGAGAGAAGAAGAAGGAACCTGACGGTGATGCAATGCAAGGGAGAAGGAGAACCAGCATCATTGAGCATGAAGAGGGAGAGGACAAGGAACAAATGGGGAAGCAAGGGAGAAGAAGAAATCATGATTTAGACCTCTTGTAGTGGCAAACGGAGCTCTCACACACACCCATGCTAGTAATGATTAGAGATGGTGGTTAAAGGCAGAGAAGATGGAGAGGAAAGAGTCTAAATCTCTCTCACTCTCACTCTCTTGATCATATAACAAATCGAGAGAAATTGAGAGAGGAAGCTTCCTCTTGCATTTAATATGTTATCCTCTTCTTTCTATGTACATGTTGTCTTTCACCATTACCGGAGAAATCAAAGAGCTAATAATCAAATGAGTTGATAGGTGTCCACTAAAGCTTTATCCTCTTTAGCTTTTCTTTTTTAAATTTTTATTATTTTTTTACTTGTTTTGAAATGTGGATATGAATTTTCTTTTGTTGGGAATGTTAATTGTGGCTGTGGATATGAAATTTTCTTTTGTTGGATTTGAAATATTAACAGAGGAAGATAAAGGCCCAAAAATGGAGGGATTGGGTGGTAGGGGAAGGCAGATCACATTTGAGAAGGATTGAGGAAGATGGAGAAGAGAGATACGTGTACTCCATGTCAAATCAAATTGGTCAATGTTTGCCTAGGTAGATAGCATAATAGTTAATGATTTTACTATTTAACGGTTTGATTACATATGTACCAACTAAAATAACTTCATGAGAACTCATGCACCTTTCCTCATTTTAGGATATTGGATGCACCTAGTTAATAACTTTAGGGGTAATTTTGCCCCCTTGCCCATTCATGTTGTAAGAACTTCAAAGATTGACATTTCTGGGCAAATTGTTATTAGCATCCTTTCCTAAAAACTTTAGGAGGCTCCTAGCCACATAATCTTTAATGGCCATTATTGATAAAGACTCCTTTCCATTTCATATAAAGATTAGACTACTAAAACCTTTTCTATTTTCAAAGGCTTGATGTAATTTGTTTTTTTCTCTCTTTCCTTTGTCTTTTATGTACAGTTTTGATCAATAGAAATTTTCCTTTTACTTAAAATAAGATCCTAGTCTTTTAGTTGGCACGCGTTAGTTTTGCCTTGCAGATGCCTTCCAATTGATCAAATGATTTCATTTTGTTTTCCTTTTTTTAAGCCTCACAAGTTCATAAGTAGTGGTACTTTGATGGGTGAATTCAGACTAGCTAAGTCGTCTTATTTGATTTTTATTTTTTGATTATTTGTTTGAAAGTTAATTTGTGAACGTTTCATTTTCAACGTTTCAATTTTCAATGTAAACAGACGGCCTATCTTCCAAGTTTCAACTATGATCTAGATCCTCTCCATGGTACATCATTGCACATTCTTGCTTGATCTAAATCATGATTGTTCACTTCATCTAAGAGCTCTAAAAATTGGCACATCTAACATAATACAAAGCCTAATATGTGTCATCTAATAGA